CAAAATTGAAAAGACGTGGGTGCAGCAACGGTGCTGTGACTCCAAAACGCTTGGGAAACTCTGGACTAGGATATTTGAAATTCATGTACTAGCACCATTGCTGGTAGGAGAGCTGGTCACCCGAAAGCTTTTTCGTTAACCCTCTTGGGACGTAACCCTCTTGATCTCTCGCTGACTAGCAGTGAATCTGACACTGACGAAAACAATCAGGAAAGTAATGAAGACAATCAAAATGATGTTTATGATAATGTTGTGAATCCTTGGATTAGGATTAGTGGTTCTGAATTGGATAGAGATGATCCCTATGAATTTTTAGAAAAAAATAGAGCCTTTAAATATGCCTCATGGGATAAGCACCCCATTTGAGAACTTATGCTAATTTTTACACAATATATCATTAAAATGTTTGTGAGAGAGAATAATAACTAATAAGTACGCAGACAACTTTCTCAGTAACACCCAGCTCAAATAAACCATATTTGGATGCACAATGGTGAAAAGGACCGCTCTGTCTAAAGCAACCGAAAAGTACCCTGAGGGCAGGAAAAGGAGTAGAACTCTGTGCCAGGGGTGTCTCAAGGGCCTCCATGGGCCTTATTTCCCCAAACACAAGTGTTAGGATCCATTCATGCTTCATCCATCAAAAAATTCACATAATTTAATAATTTACACCAGTAAGTCATGTTTTTTCTCAGTCGAAATCGACGACTCTGTTTACATGCAGGAAAAATCATGTCTGGCGAGTTTTGCCCCAACAATGGGTCTTTGGAGGCATTTGTCAGGAGATTAGTGAGTGTTTCATGTTTTGTGTACAAGATAGATCAGCAGCTACACATAACACTTATGCCGATAATCACAGCACACATCCTGCTGGGCACAACAGTCATGTCAGATCAATGGAGAGCATATAATGCAATTGGCACCACTCCGGGATTGACTCATCAAACGGTCATTCATTCTGTTAAGTTTTTGGATCCAAACTCAGGTGCCAATAGCCAATACCCAAAGCATTGAACGTTTGTGGAAAGCTGCAAAAGAGAGAAACAAGTGCCACAATGGCACACACAGACATATGCTCGATTTGTAGACGATATTGTTCAATTTTGGCCACTACAGTAGCGGAGGACCTTTAAAGAAGTAAGTATGTTTTTATTCAAAATAACATTTGTTTTATTGGAAGTGTGAAATAATGTATAATTTTTGAATTAAAAGTTTTTTAGGCTAATTCAGATTGATAGGTTTAGGGATACATTTTAGGGTTCATGTTAGGTTTAGGGATATATTTAGGGTTCAGGTTAGTTTAGGGATTCATTTAGACATAAGTTCGTGGGTCACGATAACCAAGATGGCGGCCGCGGGTTGATCTCTCCGAATTGTTTTTGGCCATTTTTTTATTCGAAAGAACATTTGTTTTAGTTTTATGGGAAAAGTGAATAATAATTTTTGCGGTGAATTAAAATTGAAGTACCCACTTCTGATACCGGGTCCGAATAGCCGCAGCCAAACTTTTCATTACAATGGGAGTCTTCTTCTTCTTCTTCTATATCTTAAGAGTCGCTTAGTCAATTATTTTGTCACGTGATGTGAGTAAAAACGAGTAAGATTTCCGGTATACTGTCTACAACACACTAGTGCTTGACAACAGTAGCCCGATACACACTACAACTACACTACATTTCGTCCAATGAAAATTAACAATAAAATAAACAAAGGGGAATGACTCCTGCATCAATATTGAATAAAAACGCAAATGACGTCATGAGCACGCACGGCGCTCAACAACATAACAATTTGTTATAGTTATATGTATGTGTTATTTCAATGCTAATTTGTATAAGTATGTTTATTAACATGCTAATTTATATATGTATGTTTTTCCCCATGCTAATTGGTGTATGCCTGTTTGATATTATTAAAATATTTTTTTTTTGTAGGTGGGGGGATTTTTAAAACGGAATGGGCCTGCAGCATTGCAAAAAGGTTAAGAATCACCGGTCCTAGAACATAGACTAAGATCCCCCTCCTCTCCGGGTCAACCGTTTTGTTCGTTCCATCCCACTTCACGTGGTAGCCCCAATTCTATGCTGTCTCCACATTTTGACATTCATCCTCCCGACTGTCAATATCGCTAGACCTACAGGCCTACCCATTTTCTCCTCCTCCGTGCCGTGTCGGCCTGTAACTTGACCAGAGGCCATTTCTCGGACCTCGCATACCCTGATTCTCTCAGTGATCATAGTTTAAAATAAAATTGTTGTATAAAAGTGAAAAGAATAATGTTAAAAATGGCTGCAATTTAGGGTTAAGTGAACTTTTCTTTTTTACTAGCGTATTCCGCTTTTCATGTGACCTCATATTGCTTAAGACTCCCTCCCCCAGCCCCTCGTCACCAAAAATAACCCCCTCTTCCACCCCCAGACGCGTAACGTCATTTATGGGATTCCCCCCCCCCCCC